GCCACGATACTCTCCGACCTCAGCTCGTCGCGCGACAGCCCCTTCGCGCTGCTGCTACACCCTCACGCGAACGTCTCTAGCGACGTCGACGCGCTCACACTGGGGGGATCTCACGAGCTGCTCGCGACACTGTTTTCGCTGTTTGCTCTAGCACGACGGACAGGACTTTCGACGCAGGTCGAAACGACGACGACGACGGGAATCGTGATGAGAGGAGGTATATAGTGGCCGTGGAGGTTGCTTTGTTGGTCGAAGGTCGAAGGAGATGGAGGATCGAAGGGTTGGGACGGTGGGTTACTTCGATGAGTGAGCTGCCTGGCGCCCTCACCAGAACTAACTCCCACGCTGCGCGTGGAGGGCCGACGCTTTGACTCGCAATGCGCATTCTCCCCGGTGCGCTACCCCTCTACCTGATGAGAGGGAGAGAGAGAGAGAGAGAAAAAGAGAGATAGAGAGCGAGGGAGCTTTCACCCCTCCTGTACGTCGCACCTCGTCTTGTCACGCATCGCCACTTCGCCTGGCCGGCGCGCCCATGAACGGATTAAAGCTGCCGCGAGCCCTAAGCACTTCGTACTACACGCACGCACAATGTACTCTCTCTCCCTCCCTCTCTCTCTCTCTCTCTCTCTCCCTTCTTTTCTCCCTCCCTCTCTCTCTCTCTCTCTCTCGCCCTGCGACTCTTTTTACGCGGCACGACTGGTCAATGGTGATCGACGAGTGCCATCATCCCGATCCTATTACTACCTCTCGGTACCTCCAATAACTCCCTACGCGTCGTATACGGATGTGTGACGCCATTGTCTCTGGCATCCAGTGTTTGGGCGTATGTTCCACTGCCCCCGTGCTCTGAAGAAGGACACTTGTTCAAAAGACAAGGGAGAAAAAAATGAAAGGGCGAGGAATAAATGAGAGACTGTTTCAATCGAACTTAATGTTTCGACGTCTATGTCTATGTTTCGATCAAGCCATCGGTGACTTTGACAGCCTTTCCTAGACATAGGATACTACAAAATCAAGAATCAAGACAGAGTATCCGAGCTTCACGCTCGAAATTTATTTGTCACCATCAGTTTCAAAGCTTCCAAGTCGGTGGCTAACCGTGTGAGCACCTATCCATTATCCCATCCCGTTTCCATCTGCTCCACGTAGCCACCACTTGACGCGTGGTTCTTTCGGTCTCGCTATTCAGACACGCGTCGACTTCCTACATTCACGGGAGAGACTTGGTTCAGTTGTCTCGTAATTCCACGGGGCTCCGTGGGAGTATTTGCGGATGACGTTAGCCGGACCGAACCTACTTCCTCCCCCACCCCCGAAAGACTTGTAATCGGTCGCTATCCAAGGTTTACCTTGAATACCACTATACGATTCTGGTTTCGGCTTTCATTCGTTAATTTGCCGCTTCTACTCAATTAGGTCACTTTTCGTTTCGTTAGCTAACTGCTACTCTCTCTCTCTCTCTTCTTGGCTCTGCCGCTTAATGCACCATCATATTGTCGTGAAGATATCTTTTATAGTAAATGATATTTAATACGGAATTTCCAATGTTAAAATAGTCATTCCAGCGATGCACTGCTTGGAGCAAAGTGGCGTATTATATTTAAGGCGATGCCGTAGATGATCCCTAACTCCGACGGGATCAGCGCGCCACCCAAAAGGAACTAAGATAATCGGTAATGCAGGTCACGGTGATGCAGTTCTTAATACAGTAACACTGCTATACCGATACCATATCAGACGCAAACCATGTTTTTGATTTAGGATTATCAAATCTGTCATTACGAGATGACTTAATCCTTAGAAGCACGGTGGAAAGTATATTTTCCACCTTTCTTCTTTCAGATTTTTGTCGATAAATTTTCATTGCTGTATTTGGATTGTTTTTTTTATTTTTCTAGTATCTTAGGGATTGGTGAATATTAAAAAATCATCAAAATATACATTTTGTTAAGTGTAAAAGTGTTATAAATAACCAAATTAAGAAAAATGCCTGTTTTCTTGGAGAAAATTCATTTTCCAGCGACTTTTCCAAAATTAGGTGTTAAAACTTATGTACATATATATATATATATATATATATATATATATATATGTGGTTTTTTGAGGTCGTTAATTACGAATCTGATAGAATTAGAAGATTTCCGAAATCCAAAATGACGGTCTAATATGGGGGACTAAAATTGCAGCAAATTAAGCAATTCTCTTTAAATGTGGTATGTAGAGGGTTTTCGGATCACTGATTACGACTAATAATTATATAATAATAAATTATATATTAATATTTAATAATTAATTATTATTAAAAAATATTACATGACATTCTTAGAATATTATAAGAATATTATTTTATTATTGAATAATATTTATATCATATTCTAGGAATATTACGCGCTTATAGGGATCAAGAGAACCTGTCAATAGTTTTGATGTGACACGACGCCTGATGCCATCTTGCGGAGACTTTTGGAGGAATCTATGTATATCTACAAAATTACACACAATTACATATAATTAGATCTAAACTTTCTTCCCAGATTGTTAATTTTAACATATTCGCACCATGTTAAGTTAACACAAAAATGTAAGTAGATCGTTTGAAACACGCGAAATGTGTTAAATTTAGCACGACAAGTTTTTACTACGTAGTATATTAATAATTCATATATTGCTATGTGATATTATTTACTTATAAGACCGAGTCACATATAATAATTTAGAAGGATAAGGATTAAATTACTCGTTCGATATATTACAAAGAGAGATTAAAAGTACTTTAATTCTGGTTCCGTATTCTAATTTCGGTCATCTTCCGATACGAAAAAAATGTATAATCTCACCATTGTTTTTTTCAACCCCCTTGCGTTGATACTCAATTGACGTATTATATGTCCGACAAATGCGTCCATTTAAATTAACTCTCCCGGAGGAAATGATGTATACGATATTTCACGTGCCTGCCGTAAATTTAGTTCATCAATAAGCAGGATGCCTGAGATACATGATTTCAACAAGGGATTGAACTAATCTTCATAGAATTACTGAGAAAAACCACGCCTGCATTTTGCGATAACTAGTCCCTATTATCGACAAATTCTTGTTGTCCTTTTTCTTATCATTCCCGATAACGCGGACTCGCTACTTCAATGGTTCGTTCGACAAAATGTATAGTCGGTGTCATGTAAGCCGTACCATTCTTCAGAACGAAAGTTACACGTTTTCAACAATAATTTTGATATAGATAAATCACTTTGACTTATATAAGAAAAGAATAAGTTAAAGTTAATGCATTGTAAGATAACTAATTTAAATTGAAAGTTAGTTCATTTAAAATTAACTAAGTTACATTGAAAATTATTAACTTCTTAACTTCTTAATTCAACTTTTAACTGATTTTTCAACTACTAGTTTTAACAACTTTTAACCAGTCGTTATCCAATTTTGATTTATAACTGATGTGGTTTACTGTTGAATATAGGCTAAGTTTAAGAACAATATTTGACGCTCATTAACTTAACGCGTTACGGACGTTTCTCTCTGCGGAGATCGTAATTGTCGATTAAAAAAAATAATGGCATACATGACACTGACTGTATGGGATATCCTTGCAGAGAAAATTGCTTGTGACCGAAATTTCAAGTGTTTTTAAGATCAGTTATTCTTCGTACCGCGCTCAGGTACGTAACGGTAATTATAGAATGAAAGAATTTTCGTGTCTGCCGCAAACGGATAATCGATATTTATTATTTTTAGTCACGAGCGAGAGGAAAGTGACTGACTTACATAGAATTCTAGAATCTACGAAAATATGAAAGTCAGATATAATTGCCGTAGCGATTATTAGATGTCACAAAATCCTTCACGGACCGCCACGTTTTCTCTCTCCTCCCCTTGTTCTCGCTGTTTCTTCCTTCTTCACGCAATAATCGTATATATAACGTTTAAAAAATTATATTATCGCGTAAATTATGCGCTTCATGTCATAAAATGACACGAATGAAAGTTGTTTGCCATGTATATAGATGTTTCAAATGTGCTGACCAAGTCGCCGAAAGTTTAAACATGTGAGTGCAGATAGATAGGGAGGTCAGTAAAAACAGGAATTAGACGCGGATTAATGCAAAAAAGTTATCTTCTTCTAATAACATCCCGAGATAGATTTATTTATCTTGTAGATCCGCGTCGGACGGTGGATAAATTGATGATCATACAAGAATATTTGCGAGCCGCGTTGAAGGAGAAAAACATAATTTTAATGTGTAGACCGAGTAAAATTAATTTTAAACTAAGGCTACAAGAGCGATTTATCTTCTCGTTATTATGTGGAAACGATTAAACGAAGAATTATGTATAAAATATGCTTACACATAAATACGTAACGCGTGAAATTCCACAAAAATGGACCACCCTCGATCGATCGATGTGGCAGTCGATGCGAGCGAGAGCGAGCGACAATAACCGTTAATAATCAATGGCTGATTAATTATCGGTGGTGCAATTAAGGCGTTACAAGCAGATAATGATATATATCGGTGACAGTGGAAGCTAGCAGGAAACAAGTCGCGGTGGATTCACAGATAAATATCCCACCCTCAGCGGAGGAAGCTACGCCGGTTGCGATTGGGGGTCGCGCGGGGGGTCAGTGGTTCGCCCTATGCCTGCGGCCACGTCCGCTCGAGGGACTTTTTCTTCGTCGTTCTCGCGCTGAAACTCGGCGTGACGAGATAAAAAAAGGAGAGAAGAATCTTCGATAACAATACTTTTTTCTTCCAGTCTCCGTGTTGTTTCTTTTTTTTCGTTCCTCTCGAAGGGAAACCACGGCACACGTTCGCACGTACCCGGGCATCCCGAACCTTTTTATCTCTCTGGTCCCAGACGTTGACGAGAGGCCGCGGACCTCTCTCGATATATACGTTGCAATGCGAGCGATACGCACAGGAAAGATCCGTGGCGGTGCGAGTGGGGAGCGACGGTAGCATAAAAGCACGCACGAAGAAAAGCTCGGACGCTCTTGTCGTGGTTCCCCCCGTGGTCGTCGATCGTGTCACACAGGCTGCGCTTGATTGTGCGAGAGTAGTGCCAAGTAGTTCGGGGAAAGAGGACGCCATGGGGCTCGCGAGGGCAGCTGTCATCGCCGCCTGTCTCCTCCTCTTCCTGGCGACCGACGCTTCGGGGAGTAAGTAGAACCAAGTGTACAACCTTCATCATCGTCTTCCTCCTCGCGACGCCTTTTCCCCTCAAAGATATTCCATTCACTTTGTCCTCCGATCCTCTCCTGAGGGAGAGCCTGAGAGACTGTACGCTTTGTCTTTCTTTCTCGTCGAAAAAAACTTCTGTCTGGGAAAGTTGGTCGTGTACACGCGAAAAAGGCGAAAAGAGTTTGCTCGAATTTACCTGACGATCAGCAAGCTGAACGCGCATTTTGGTCGGAGAGGAACCCGGATTTCTGATTTTTACAAAGATTCGATTCTCACGACTGGAAATTCGGTTTCTTTCGATCGAAACGTATTTGATTTCCTCATTGTCGAGTAAATTCCAATTTTTTTTCCATGTACTCTGAGGCGGTTTTGTTTTGATGTATCTTCTTTCAATCGCTACGATGATACACCCCAAAAAGTTTAAAAACGCTACGTGATTCTAACGGTTTTACTAATAAAATACTGTAATGATGAAGAATGCGATATTGTGATTCTCGCATATGTGTCGCATCAACGCGGAATAAAACGAGATCGAACAAAATGGCGTTCCGAATATCGGAAATAGATGGGAGAAGAAATGTTCGTGCCCTTTTTTTCACCCAACTACAGTTTAACATCGGTTATTATAGCGCACGGAATTGCTTTCAAATGAATATATATTCGAGGTGAATTGATAAAACTGGAATAAGAGAGGCCATCATTTGGCATTTCAAGGAAACGGAGTAAGATAGAAGAAGAAAGTTTCCTTTTTCAATTTCTGTCCAAACATTTTCAAAATAATGTCAATTTTTTTCATAATATAGTTGTATATTATATATCTTCAATCTTTCCGTCGATGAAAATTTAACTAAGAGTATTTGAGATCGCTTGAAATATTTTCTCTTTATCAGTATCTTCTCTCTTTCTCTTTCTTCTTCGCCAAAAGACATGTCGATATGCGCGATGGTGATTTTCGGAAGTTCACTCTCACATTATATTGCAGTAGCATTCAATATGATCCCGTAATTTACGAAAACTGTAATCTACAATACATGAAAATGGACTATTTCTCCGAAACCAGCAAAACGCATAATCGATAATCCAATATTAAACCCTCGACATTGCTTCCTCTCTATCTCTCCTTCTGTCTGAAAGAATTCATAAAATTGCATCGGATCGCTATCTCTTCGAAGAGACCGGATGACTCCGATAAATTTGAATTTTGTATCAAATTAAAGATTATTAAGTCATGAGCTGATAGGAAAGGGTCAACGCGCTTCGGGCGCGGTCAGGTTCGAATATCGTAAGGTTATGCTCGCGTGTCAAGGATAGATAGATTATCGTCGAATCGATGTGTCGAAATTGCCGATAGTTCCCTGTGCATGCGAGAGATTCTCGAATCTTCGCGGTGTCCCGTCATCATCGTCGATCATCAACTTCGAGCAAATAAAAGTGTCGAGGGATCGTCATATCCCCGTCTCTATAATTATTCCAGCAAGCAAAAAACATCAAATTAATCCTTCAAAACATCGATTTTATATGAATTTTACAAACATTTTGACATATTTTATGAAATATAAAAAAAAAATTTTATAAATTTTTTTTAACTGTCACTTGATATCATATTTATAAAATATAATATTCAAAAATATAATATCAAGACTATATTATATGTTGAAATATTAAAATTACGGTAGAAATATTATTTTCACTGTTCTGGCCAAATATTGTCAACAGTAACGTTGTATGCAACATTAAGAACTACATATTCGAAATTACACGTTACAAAATATCGTTGTAATAACGTTGCGTTAATGATTTTTTTTGCTTACTAGGACGTCGCGATTTACGAAAGCGCATCTCCGACCTCACTTCCAGACCTTATTCGATCTTCGCCGCGATAGCCGCGGAAAACATGTTGATTTTCTGTCGGTGAGCACTTTGCTCTTTTTCCGGCCGCCTTTTGCACCCGCGGCGACTCGTCCGTTGATATCGCTTCGTCGATATTCTTGGCCTGTTATTTTCCATTCTATGTTACAACTAGAGGTTTTACTCTATTGTTTGCGCGTGCCACGATTAATCACATTGCCAGCTCCGACCGGCGATTGGCGCGCGGTCATTTCACGATTTTGCGCCGAGCAATGTACAACGTGGAGCTTTTCAGCGGCCGACGTCGAACTTTTGAGACTTTCTTTTCTTTTGAAAGGGATTAAAGAAAAAAATGTAATACATTGAATAGTTACGGCTACGGTATTTCCTTAACAAAGTATTTTCTTGAACAAAGGAATATCACAACGATTATATAATATAATGATAATTATATTCTCGAATTAAAGTCAATATAGATAAATTCTGAAAGAGCCTTTTATGAGGGAAATAGGTTCAAGAAATAATGCGTTACTTGCAACGCTATTTACGTTACAAACGAATAAGCGAGAAACATTAAATTAATATTTATAACATATATGTAACGTATTATGTAACGGCACACTCTCAAAAACGAGCGTCCCGATCTTATCCTATAAGCGCATAATATTATTTAATATTAAATAACATTCATTAAATAACATATATTCTTAGAATATACGTAATATTCTAATAATATTCTAGTAATATTATTTAATGTTATTGAGATATTATATATATATATATATAATTGTAGTTTTTTATTTCAAATGTATTGCGACACCAATTGTTTTATTATATAAATAAAATCGAAAGAATCTTGTGTGACGTTTTATACTAAAATACGTTTTATACTAAAAAAAAAAGTATACATATATTATATTATTATTATTTTATTTTTTCTTTAATATTCTACAGAAGAACATTTTTATAATATACCAAGAATATTATATGAAGTGGACGTATATTAATAAAACATTCCTGTAATATTAAAAAATATTACATAACGCTCTTAGAATATTATCAAAATATTGTTTTAATATTGAATAGTATTCATATAATATTCTAGGAATATCACATACTTATAGGGTAGGGATAAACTGATGATGGTCGACATTATTCACTGTATTCATTGCATTCCTCGGTCTCGTATCGCATGCATCGACACTTATATCGATTATCGGCAACCGACATACAACGCGAACACGTTATTGCGTGTCAAATATTGTGTATATATGACATGTTTCGAATATCGCGCCGAGATTATGCATATTATTTCGCCTATTCACGGCCGGCGAAAAGATTGCCTGCTCCTTTTTTTTCTCGTCGGTACGTCGTATATCTTATTAATATTTCAATTATAATTGTGGATTTCGAAGTTTCTGCTCGCGGGTAATATACACAGTAAGGCGTATTATCGCAGGTGCATCACCACATTATCCTTTTCGTCCGACGCGCACATTGTTACATTCAATCACAAACATTTTAGCGGATTAACGCGTCAATATGTGCTGCAATAATTTCTGCGCGCTATAATTTCGCGTTTCACGCGCCGATAGACCACGTTTCTCGAATTATGCGCCTTCTAAGCGAATATAAAAATTTCAGGATTTTTCATTAAAAATTGGAAAAAGGAAACATTCGACAAAGTAATTCCGAAGGACAAAGTCTCTCTCTCTCTCTCTCTCTCTCTCTTTCTTTCCTTCTTTCTTTCCTCCTTCTTTTCTTTTAATTTCTTCACGGTCGAATGAATTATCGATAGGAGTGAGCGTAAAATAAACGGAAAATTCAATAATTGGAAACGTGCCCGCGGCGTTTCATGTGATTGCGTTAATCCATTTAACTGAGAGAAGTGTCATAGCCACAGCCACGACAGGACAAGATTCGGTCGGGTTTTCGCTCGGGAATTTTCTTTGCGCGTTCCTGCGAGGTAACGAATGAGCGTTTAAAAGAGTTCCCGTTATGGCGCATCGGTGGCTCGGAACGAGGTCCATATCATTGAGACGATTACAGATCCCCCGTGTTTGACCGGACATTTGGTAAATTGATCCGACGTCCCTACATCCCAGTAAAATAGATCCGAACTGGCCGTTGCGTCGTAACGAAAATGTTCTTTCACCATGCCACGTTCGAATTGTGCGAAAGGGGGGAAAGAAAAACAGGATAGAGGAGAAGGTGTCCAAATATGGGCAATGGTCGAAATTTGGGCTAGGCGGTGTTCAGGTTCCTGTAGCGCTCTTATCTGATAACAAGCGTATGATAATTTCATTGAAGATGTAGCGTGTCGCACAGCTATATTTAACGATCACTTTCGAGGCAGCGTACAAGTTACAATACGTACAAGTTACGTAATTAATTAATTTCTCGGAAATTCAAGCTTTTCGCAGGTGTGTATATTTAATTTTTTTTTCTGGAAACGTAGTTGTTATTAATAAAATTTTTTATAACCTGTAAACAGTATAAGGTTAAATGTATGAAAGGCGGAACGCGCGGATCGAGTCCGGCGGTCCGATTATGCGACGAGTCGATCTCTTTTTTATTAGCGTTACATTTTTCCAATTGTCCCGGTTGTACTACGTTGTACCAGTAGTAGTTCCAGAACCGGAATACGCGGAAAGGGGGAAACTTTTTCTTTCTTCTTTTGTTTGTTTTTTTTTTTATATGTAGACCTCTTTAAAAGCGCGCGCAACATCTCACTCGGTGTCGGACCATTCAATATAAGGACGATGTATTAATATCCCATGATAAATAATTACAATAGCGAGTGTTAGCGAGCGCGGGCATGAAAAAGCGACCTGTACTTGTGTGTTAAAAATATGGGAGCGGAAAAATATGAGATCATCGCGCGACGTTTAAATCAATGCGCGACGCGAAGTAACATACAGCCGGAAAGATACAGCGTGTCTCTCTCCGCGCGTGAAATACGAAAGTAATGATCTCTCTCTCTCTCTCTCTCTGTGTGTGTGTGTGTGTGTGTGTGTGTGTGTGCCTGTCTGTCTGTCGTTATAGATTTGCATAATGCATACCTTAAGTAATATAACGAGACTGGAGCAGCCTTAATCATGCCGGGCGCATGTCAGGGGCGAACAACATCGGAAATTACACTCGTAACTTCCCTGGTAGAATCTGTGCAGTTTTAGACTAAGCACCCAATCAGTTATAGTCTAGTATCACTGCATTCTCATTAATTAATATCAGTACTGTAGGAAATGGACAAAAACTCGATAGAGCTATCTTCAGTACCTTAAGCAGTTTTCTTAGTAAATATATGTACAATTTGCCCAGTTATTTTTTCAAAATAAATAACTGTAACATTAACAAATTACTTTTCGATAAATTCGATAGATGAACTGACAACTGTAACATACCTGTAACAATTATTTGTAAAAAAATTCACTCTCCGAACTCCGAACCAACGGTGACTCGCAATTTGAAATTCCGCAAAAATAAAGTCAGCCCAAATTGCAGCGTGTAACTTGATTTCGTTCGCGTTTCTAACGTGTATAATTCACGAAACGCCCAAGTAGGAGGGAAAAAAAACGGAGGGGAAAAGTCAAACTCGATGACGCAAAGGAACGAATTCCTCCGTTTCGTGTTTGTCGCGTTGCGACAAACGAGACGCGACATTTTTTTCCGGATATGGAGTTGTCCGGAGCGATAATGAAGAGAATCGCGACGAGTATATTTCGACGAAGCCGCAGATTGTCGCGTCAGTCAACGCAATGGTGACGGCGATTAGGGGAAGGAAATTGATCATCACAGGTTTCGCGGTGTCATCGCGAGAGAGAAACAAAGTATATAGTCGAGAATTGTCGAATCGAGATTCGCCTTTTTTTCTTTATCCTCAAAATTCTTCCTTTGCCCCTCCCCCCCCCCTTTCTTTCTTACACTGAAAGAAGGAATTGGTAATATATAACATAATTTAGTAACTGTTACTAAATTTACTAAATTAACTGTTACTATTTTTTGTTTCTTACAATTTTATATTTAGCATTTAATATTAATCTTTTTACCATTATTATTTTTACCATTAAATATTAATATTTTATTTAGTTCAATAAAATGATATCATTTTAGCACTAAAACACTATTATTTAATTAACATTGAATATAAATACATTATTTATCTTCTATACTTCTGAAATAAATGTGCGTGCCCTCGCAATCCCACATAATTTGCGAGGATCACTTCGAGGTTTCGTGTTTTTTGTTACGTGCTCGTTTCATCAGGAAGAAAATAATTTCTTATTTGTATTCGCAGTCGGCTATAGTTGACCAACCTCGTCGTCGTCGAGCGAGTAATTATGTAACTCGGTTCACAGTGCAAAGTACAGATTTGGATGGGCAACCGCTTGTTTTCTCATTTTAATCGCATCAATCACGTGAAGTAATATTGAGTAACATTCAACTGGTTTACAAACTACCATTAACGAGATGTCTATAATTGTATCTTCTTTTTGGTGATGGATTTTGGAACGAAGTCAAGCGCGACTTTGATTCCCGTGTTGAATAGCACAAATTTCCTTAGGAAGAAAATTTCGAGATTTTCAAGAAATAACCGGAACAACTGAGATAACGGAAAGCTGAATTAACAATCGTGTGAATGCATCGGCATTACTTAATTTGACATAATTTTAATTTGCTTCGACATTTGGAGCATCGTTTAAAACTTTAATACGTGTCATAATGAATATCCGCGACATTTACTCGTTAAATTTACCGATACTTTTGACAACGATATTTCTTATTTGCTTAAATGTTTACTAGAGGATTTGCGAGAGATTTTTATGCGGTAAGATTGACATTAATGTTCTCAAATTGTAAACTTCCGTTGCGATGCCCAATGGCATCCGTTCTATTTCGATATTGTTGGAAAATTAATCGCTTTCTACTTATCTCTGATGAACAAGCTTCTGCGAATTAAACAAAAATTACGCAACTAATAAATCGCGCTGATATCATCCACCGTACGTACATACGTACATTAATTAATTTTTTATATTTTAATCAACTCATGTAGTCTACGTTTCTTCAAAAATATATAAAACTTCGCCATGCTGCGTCAGTTTACATTTTTACAGATTACATTTTTTACAGATTACATTTTTCCGCCGTATCTTCTACATATTTTTTGCCGATTAGAAATTTCGCCGTCCACGCTATTTTATTAAATGAAAACAAGATAAGGCGGAATTTATGATAAAAAATGAAAGCTTAATGCCGACTGTCAACATGAATGTTAATATTAAATACGTTAAATGTTATTCGTAATTACTTTAAAATGAAAGAATTAACTACACGAATAAATTAAGTACTTTACCAATTCCGTCTTTATATAATATTTTATAATTTAAGTATAATATTAAATATTGAATTAAGTCCCAGAAATTAAATCTGACGAATAAAGAAGAGAAATTAAATTTCTATACAATAATTTTCTCATTTAGTTTTGTGCGTGCATACTGTGAAAGAAATAGATTGAAAGAAGCAAAATGCAAATGTCAAATTATCCTTATTGTTTAATTATATAATAATCGTCCAATATTTTTTACAACTCTACGAAATTATTGCGGTAAATTGTTAAACTGCCAGTTCGTACGAATGTACCGACATACAGTATCGAACAAAAATGAAAGTTTCACGATCCAGGGTCACGAAAGTCACGATTATCGTTATCAGTGCTTGACCCGAGGCATCGAGTTCACTTCACTTGATGTATAAATATATTTTCTTTCTCACAATAATCAGCATCGGTCATAATAGATTACGGTTGGTCTCGTTCTTCGCTCTCCTTCTTCACTTCATGAATTCGCCCATCGTTATCGATATATAGCTCAGAAATTGAAATAGCAAACTGTCACGAGAATATTCACGAGACGTTGCATAATGGACAAATTAATCCATATCGCGCTGCTTTATAACAATTAATAATTGATATTATACATTAACAGTGGAATACTTTTAAGAAGTTTTCACGTGTGCTGCATATACATATATTAGGTTGGTAAGAAAGTTATGTCGTTTTTTTTGAGGAAATTTCAATTTCTTATATTTAAGCTCATAAGCGAGATTAATTAATGAAATATTGACCACTGTTTTCCATGACCTTCCTTCATCTGTCAACAAGGTCATTTATGCCGGATGTATAAAAGATCCTATCCTTTGAAGCCAGAAAATCTACCACTGTCCTCTGACATCCTGAAAGTTTCAAAATTTTTTTCTTTTAAGAAAATTTTGCTTCGAGAGGAACAAGTGGTAGTCAGATGGTGCCAGGTGAGTATGATGGATATGATAAAACTTCATAACCAACAGCCTGCAGCTTCTCCTTCGTCCTTAAAGTCACGTGAGGCCTGGCATTGTCATGTTGGAAGACAACACCTTTTCGATTATACAGTGCTAGACAAAGTTCACATATTTTTGTATCCATTCGGGTTAGCTGATCGCAATATAGGTCTGCTGTGACAGTTTGATCTGGTTGCAACAGTTCCCAGTGGATAGGACCTCGACAATTCCACCAAACTCAAAACATTAGCTTTTTTTGGTGCAAATTGGCCTTCGCAAGGGTAGGAGGTGAACTGCCTGGCATTACCTTGGCTCTTTTCCTCACTACATTGTCATACACAATCTACTTTTCGTCACCAGTAACTAGGCGATCCAAGAATGGCTCATATTGTTGTCGAGCAAGCAAAGAAGAAGCAATAGAAATTCGATCTGCCATATTTTTTTCGCTTAATTCACGAGGAATCCAACGACACCATTTGTAGACAAAGCCAAGCTTGTTCAAGTGTTTTTCAATTGTTATGTAGCTAATGCTTAACTTATCCCCGATCTCCCTCGTAGTCAATAGTGGTTCATTACCCACTAAAGCCCTCAGAACGTCGTCATCAAGCTCCTTTGGTCTTCCGGTGCGAGGTTCATCTTGAAACTTCATGTCACCTGACCTGAATTTTTCAAACCAACTTTGGACCGTACGCACTTTAACTTTAAATGGTCCAAAGACGAAACACAAATTTTTATGAGCTTCCGTCACATTATGACCAAGTTGGGACTCATAAAGCATAGAGTGCCTAAAATGAAGTTTTTCTTGATCCATCATATACCCCTATTTCTCAAAATTTAATTATTAAAAAACAAGTAATATCAAAAATCAAAACGTGGAACTACTGGCTTTCGATTAATACCAAAATTGTCTAAATCGCACAAAGAACAACGAAATAATAAACATTTCAATTGGAGCAACAGAAAAACGACATAACTTTCTTACCAACCTAATATAATAAAAATTAAATTCCATGTTCAATTTCACGTTCGATTTCGGCACAATGTAATCTCACACTTAACTCTGTTTCTGTTTACAGGTAAATGTTCAGTCGGTTGCCGTGGATGTGAGTATATCTATAAAAATACATACCGTAAAAAAATAGGATAAAAATTCATAATTATTATCGAACATTCGCTTTGATTGGAGTTAATGATTGTAATGATTGTTTTGATGAAAGTTAATTAGAAGATTACTAATCAGTTACTTCAGTCGCTTTTCGAGGGAGCAAAAAGTTCTCTCGGGAAGAAAGTCGAGATGTTCTTTGCATTCGGTCGGAAGTTTTCAGAATATTACTTGATATTAAATAATATTACGCACTTATATTCATTCTTGCACCTCGCATCGGGCGCGATCTGTTTCAGTGCACGGAGGCAAGGCCTACAAAGAGGGACACACGTACGTTTACGATTTAGAGGGCACGTCCGTGACATCGGTGCCCGAAGCTCAGAATGAGGCTACCTTAAAACTGAAAGGTACCGTTGAATTGTCCGTGAAACCTGACTGCATCCGGCAGATCCGATTGAAGGACGTACAGATCAATGGAGCTGTAAGTACATGACATTTATCTGTAACACGTATTGTGTGCGCGTTCGTGATAAATTCATGCGCTACGTACAGGCGTTACAAAAAAGGGAAAAAACGAATGCATAAGGGATAAAATAGGAAAAAAACACGTCGAGGCTCTTCGTCCTCCGTCACAGTCATCTTATCTAATGACATCAAAAATGAGAAAATGTATGCCCAAAATTCATGTGAAATAAAAAGATATCTCCGTAAAATGACGTTTGCGGTAAATTTAGCAGTTTGTAAAATATCCCCCAAAAATTTCTCTCGCTCTGACAATCAATGAATAACCATAAAATTAATATAATATAACATTCAACCTTCCTTCTTACCTATTTTTTCTCATAATTTCGTCACATAAATTTCACGGCAAAACGAGAGTTCTCGAAATATTTTGCAAATGTGCTCGATCGATCACAAGTGTCATTTTCCGGACATATTTTTTTTATTTTAACGTATTTCGAAAGAATTTTGAACGATATTTTAACTTTTCGTGTCGTATTCACACTTACATATCGACACTTGAATATCGACTCAACGTACAAATACTCAGATAACGCAAATACAATATTTTAACAACTTTAATATTTTATATTAACGTATGGCTATGTTAAGCATTTAATACAAACATTTTAGCAAAGATGATTTTAACGCAAGCACAAAATGCCTTTTATTACATATATATAAAGATACTATGCATGTACTATTCTCTTTCCTTTCATTCCAGCCGATATCGCAACCAGATGTGGAACAGTACGCGTTGCAGTTCAACTACCATGACGGCCACATCGATACAGAAGTGTGCGCGGAAGAGGGTGACTCGCAGGCATCCCTCAATATCAAGAGAGCGATGGCCTCCTTATTCCAGACAGCCGTCTTCCAGGACTTCGGCTCCACGAGCCATCATGAGGTAGATGCGTCTCTTTTTCTCTCTCTCTCTCTCTCTCTCTGTCACTCTCGTTCTCCATTTCACCATTTCATACGTGAAACTTCTATTTCAGGTCGACGTGTTCGGTGGCTGTCCGACCGACTTCACCTTCCGGAAGGACGGTGACTCGCTGACCGTACGCAAGGAGAGGAACCTGGCGCGCTGCAGCCATCGCGAACACATTCTGTATGGTCCCGTCTCCGTGATGTACGACCATTCCGACATCCTGTCTTCGCCGTTGCTGTCGTCGGAACAGAGTATCGAGCAGCGCTTGAAGCACGGCGTCCTGAACAAAGTCAGCTCCGTCGAGACATACGAACTGAAGCCGTTCAGCAACGGCGACGCCGGCGCGAAGACGGTCGTGCGTACGACGCTGACGCTGAAGAGCGAGAAGGGCGACAGTCCGAAGGCCGAGGTCAGCCAGCCGAAGTCTCTGATTTTCGAAGCGCCACATCCCGTTATCAAGTCGTCGGTCGACAGCATCGCCACGGCGTTGAAGGCCGCCAGCGTAGAGGAGATCGGCACGGTGCAGCAACACGCGGCGGAGAAGTTCGCGGAACTCGTCCGGGTGCTCGGTTACAGCAACAAGAACGACATCCTCGCGGTCTATCAGAAGGTGAGGGCCGGCGCCGGCTTCGACAAGGTTACGGACAAGAAGATCCTGCTGGACGCTCTCTTCCGCACCGGGAGCGGTGAGGCCGCCGAGGCGGTCGTCGAGCTGATGAAGGGCCACGAGCTCAGCGGCCAGCAGACCCTCCTATTCTACGCGAGCCTCGCGCTCGTCCGTCACGTTCACCTGCCGTCGGTGACTGTGGTGACGAGCCTGTTGGACCAGCCGGACCTGCCGCGGCTCGGTTACCTCGGGGTCGGCCAGGTGATCGGCAAGTATTGCCAGGAGCACTCGTGCGAGAACGTGGCCGAGGTGAAGCAAGCGATCCACAAGATCCGCGAGAAGATCGGTAACGGCAAGGCAAAGACCCGTGAGCAAGAGGATCTCGTAGTCTCGGCCTTGAAGGCGCTGGGCAACACCAAGTACCTCGACGACTCCACCCTTGTGAAGTTGGCCGGCATCGCCGAGGACAAAAACGTGCGCAACCGCGTCCGGGTGGCGGCGATCGAGACTCTGCCCGCACGATGCAGCATGAAGTCGAAGAACATACTCATCAAGGTTATGGCTGATCGGGACGAGGACAGCGAGATCAGGATCAAGTCTTACCTCTCTTTGATCGCGTGTCCCTGCCAGCACTTCGCCAGTGCTCTCAAGGACATGCTGGACAAGGAGGAGGTGAACCAGGTCGGCTCCTTCATTCAGAGCCACCTGCGCAACCTGCGAGCCTCCACCGACCCGACCAAGGCCGACGCGAAGCACCACGTCGGCAAGATCAAGCCGCGCACCAAATTCCCGGAGGACTTCCGCAAGTACTCCTTCAACAACGAACTGTCGTACCACATGGGCGGCCTCGGGGTCGGCTCCGCCGTCGAGAGTAACGTAATCTACAGTCAGAACAGCTACGTGCCGCGTTCGGTCAACCTGAATCTGACCGCCGAGCTGTTCGGGCGATCCTTCAATTTCCTGGAAATGAACACGCGCATGGAGAACCTCGACCGAATGATCGAGCACTACTTCGGCCCGAAGGGCCACCTCACGCAGGGCGACGTTGACGATATGGTGGAGAAGGGCGTACACGACGCGGTGAACATCGGGGAATACATCGAAGAGAAGATGAAGAAGCTTCGCGGCAAGCGCGAAGTCAAGCAAGGCGAGCTCGACAGATTCGCGAAGGGCGTGAAACTGAGGAACAACGAAGTGGACCAACAGCTCGACATCGACCTATCCATCAAGTTGTTCGGCGTCGAAATGTATTACCTGACTCACAGCTCGGAAGGAGACCACGCGAAGGAGGCCACGCCGAAGCAGCTGATCGACAAGATATTCGACAGCCTCGACGTGGGAATGAACAAGCTAAAGAAATTCGACCACCACTTGAAGAGCCACATGCAACTCTTGGACTTGGAGCTGATCTATCCGACCAACCTCGGCGCGCCGTTCATGCTCAATGTGATCAGCAGCGGCGTGATGCTTGCGAAAATCTACGGCAAGATAGACGCTCGGGCGATCATGGAGAACCCGCAGAACGCGGAGCTGTACTTCGGTTTTGACCCCAGCATCTCCGTGCAGGTGACCGGCAGCATGCTCGTCAAGGCGTTCGACGCGGAGTCCGGTATGAAGGTGGTCTTTACGTTGCACAGCAATACGGCGAATGATTTCAAAATTAAGATGTTGGACGGCAAAGGCATCGATTTCTCCATCGGAACACCCATGCAGAATGAGAAGACGTTATTCGTGAGCAGCGAGGTTCTCATGAGCTCCGGGCAGAAGAACAACGCGTACGAGGCCGCCAAGTTCGGCACCAAGGGCAAGATCTACGACGACTGCTTCGACCAGATCACCCCTCTCACAGGTATATCTCTTTGCGGCCACGTGGAATTCCCGTATGACGGCGTCGAGGCGATGAAGAAGCGGGCCCTCTTCCCGTTGAACGGCCACTCGAAATTCAGGGTGAATTTCCACAATCAGGACAACCGTTATTACCGTCTGAAGATCTTCTACGACAACAAGTCGGAAAAAACTCGGACCTTCGAACTTATAGCAGAGACGCCCGGCAGCAAGACTCAAAGACGGATATCCTTGACCGCCGAGGCCGGTCTCGAGCCCGACAAGTACGTTAGAGTGAACTTGGATTCTTCCTTCAAGAAGGCGTCCGCCGAGGCGGTGCTGAAGAACACCGCCGAGGAGCACACGTTCACGATCAAGGTGAACCATGACCAGCAGGAGTATTACGGGCGCGCCGGTCTCTTAGCCAACGGTGCCAAGTACAAGCCCGTGTTGGAGTACAAAGTGCCGGAGCACATCGAGAAATTGTCCGGCGGTAAGATCCCCCATGGTAAGCAGCACTACAACGTCGACGGCATTGTGGAGCTGGTGGAGCAAGATGGCGGCAGGAAGTACGTGTTCGACAAGGTCGTCCTGATGATGGAAGGCCGCAAGATCGTCGGCGTGGACGGCTACATCATGTCTGCCCATAAAGCCGTCGCTATGGATATGAATCTTGGCTACGGCGACGAGTCGCTCGCCCTGAAGATGGACCTTAAGAAACTGGGGGCCGAGCACTATTCGCTCTGCCTGTCGGCGGTACCGTCGAGGAATCCCAACATCGGCTTCGACCTCGACTTGGAGTATCGCAACAGCGAATACGAGTTCGAAAACAAGCTGGTGTTTGTTCACGGGCCTGATCTCAAGTCCGAGGTGAATCGCTTCACCATGAAGCAAGAGATTATCGCCAAGCCGAAACAGTCGGACGGGAATTTCTTGTTCAGCGCTTCCAGCAAGATTTCATACCCGGCTTTGAAGCTGGTGTTCGACATGGACGGTAAGCTCACGGCCAAGTCGATCGAGGGCGACATCGACATGTCCTACAACAAGTTCAAGTTCGGCACGGAGCTGTCGATGAAACGGAATATGGCGAAGAAGGGCGACTACGAGGTCGAATTCGAAGCCGAGTTGCTGCAGAACAGCATGAAGCTGCAGACGAAGCGTACGGTAATCGATCCGCACAAAAACCGGTACAAGCACTCGGTCGAGCTGAAGCCGGGCGGCAAATACGAGTCCGACATGGTCATCACGTGCCACAACGACAAGAACAAAATGGACGTAGAAGTGGACGGTAATATGAATCTGAACGGCAAGAAAGTCAAGACCGTCGGCGCGTTGAAGGCCGAGTCGGGGAGTATCGACTGTCACGCGATCATCGCCATGAACGACGTCAAGTACGTCAACTTCCTGCTGAAATCGCACAAGAGCCCGAACCCGCACAGCAAATTGGTATTGAACTTGAAGAACTACCTGAACGTCGACGGCGAGATGTTGATGCAAGGCGACAAGGGTAACGCGCATCTCACGATCGATTTACCGAAGACGAACCGCAAGATCAAAGGTATCGGCGATCTGGTCGTGGCCGGCACGCTGCACACCGCCAGTGTGCAGCTTCTGCTCGACGCGGAGAGAGATCCTAGCAAGGTAATCAAACTGACCACCGTGACCGACCTGAAGAAGAACACCATCGACTCGAAAAACATGCTCGATTTGTTGGGTCATAAAATCGAGGTGAACGGCAAGGGCAAGCTCGAGGGGACGTTGAATGAGGGCGAACTGATCGCCGACGTGGATGTCACTCTGCCGAATGGTCGTTACCTGGTCTACAAGGTCAAGCGTACCTCCAGCAAGAAGGAGAAAGAGGACAATTACGATATTCACGTAGACGCCTTGATAGAGGACCATAAAACTAAAGGCGGCGAGTCGATAAAAGTCACATACGTCGCTAACGTACACGAGATGGACTTCAAAACGTACGCTCACACCGGCGACGCTAAACTGCAGATCACCGACTATGATGGCAACAGCAAGAAACTGGAGATTCAATCCAAAAATCTTCCCGGCATCAACGGTTACAAAGATTTGTTCGAAATCAAATTGACGGGAATAATAGGACCGCAACCATTGAATCTGGAATACAAGGGCAGCGAACTCGACAGCGGCGAGGAGTCGGAGCATTTCGCCGCCTCCTTCGGCAAGTTCCAGTTGAAGGTAAGCGAAAATAACTTCTTCGAAGAAATTATGGTGGACGCTATGTGACAAGGTTGGTCGAAATAACTAGAGAATTTGTTCACCCTATGAAGCACACATTTTTCCTCCCGCTGATTTTTCGGCAAATTTAATGCCCGGGGGTTTTGGGGGTCACTGATCACGAATCTGAGGTCCAAAGTGGAAAAAACCACTACTAAAGTTGATGGTAAATCCTCAACTTGACCCAAATTGACAGTCGACGATGAAAATTTCGTGTATTTCCCTTAAGGATGGAACACACACACCCACATATACACATGTATATGTAACATTGTTATAAATTATTTAAGCAATGTAAATATATTATTTATTTATTATTTAATAATTTATTTTTTATTTGGCATTATTCAATATAATAACATGTTATTTGCGCAGAGTACCGCAAACTACATACCCGGCGATGAAAATGACAAGCCCTACGCAGGAAACGGCAATGTAGAGTTGCTACTGCCGTCCGAGAAGTTGCGTAATCTCAAACTAGACTATAAAGTCAGCTATCTGGACCAGCCTAAGAAGAATCATGAAGATTTGCAATATGAAATCAATCTTATTTACAACGATGACAAGTCCATCAAGTTGGAGAGTTTCTCCAAGTCTACTGGAACAACGGATACCGATCAACCTCATAGTGGAGATTACAAAGTAGCTCTGACGCTCCACAACAATCCGCCTATAGTCTTCCATGATACTTTCAACTACATGTCCGAAGGCGATAAAATAAAGATAACTCGCAAAACGACCGGCATTGTCGACGGCAAGGAGACGACTATCATCATCGATAATCTCACCTATAATAACGACCTCTCATCTATCCATCTAAGCGGCAAGGCCGTCACTCCCTATGAACACATGAACAATGTTGATTTCTCGATAAACCATGAGGTAAAAGATTATATCATTAAAATTTAACTTATTGCTATCTTGATTCTTATCGTGTTATGGAAAGTTTGAAATTAAAGTTTAACATAGAATCGAACTCGGTTAACTTCAACACACTATATTTGCCAATTAGACTACTGTTGACTTTTTATATTTCCGAAGAGTTCGCAGGACGGACTCACAACGAAAACCGAAGGGGCCGTTACCGCCGACAATGACAAATATACAACCAAGTGTGAGATTCAGAGAAGCAACATATCTCCGAAGATTCATATCATATTTACCTCCCCGAATGGCAAGACCGAACTTCTATCGAAATACGAGAAACTGGGCGACCACGAATATACAGGTAATTCTCTCTCCCTCTCTCCCCCTCTCTTTCTCTCTCTATGCATTTTCAGCCTACTGGAATAGAGGATGAATTAAATCAATGAAATAAGACAATGAAAAAAATTACAGATTTCTACGAGCACAAATTTGTGTGCGTTTGCTTTTCAGGTGAACTGAAGATCGATACACCGAAAGGCTTTGCCGTTGCGGACACGCACCTCAAATTGGACAACATTGACAATTTCATAATCAACACCAACTTCGACAGCGACAAGTTAAAGCACCGCAAGATTCACGCCGAGATCGCCAACAATCCCACCGCCAAAGCCGGCAGAAGAATTGTCATCACAGTCACCAGCGACGGCAAGAACATCGTGACCGGAAGGTGAGGACTCGCCGTGAAACGTGATATATTTTCAACCCCGACGTTCCCTAAGCGGGGTCTACAATGAGAATTTAAGCTCTAAGAAATTGACCAGTCACAGTCGATTATTCTCCTCACATTCGAATTGCTCGTCTACCCTAAAATAAAATTCGACACAATAATTAGCTGCCGAGATGACTAATGATCGCTCGATGGAAAGATAATCAGGACGCGAGTGTGCACACTAGACATGTCTATTCGATTTACAGCTCGACATTTTCGGTTCGTATTCGCGGTCTCATACGTTCCGCCGCTTCGTCGTACTCGGTCGATATTCTCCCATCGCAATGCTGAACGATGTTTTTCTAACGATAGCGATATACGAGATATATACGCGTACATAAAAGAAGTAAAAAAAAATCAATCGCCTACGCGGTGACAAAACAAAGAGCAAAGATGTCCTCCTGTAATTAACGAAAGGGCACGGGGTTATTTTTAAAAGAGATCAGGAGATATACGACAGGTGGTGCCTTCTCCTCCGTTATTCGTTTCACCTCGCTGTGTAATTTCATCGATTTGACCGCTAAAATTAATTCCACCACAGTCTCCACGTATATATATAGTATATTTTAACCGACGATCCTTTTGTTCGCGTCTCGAGACGAATCGCCCCGAATCGAATCGCGAAAAGTCGGCAAATGAAGTCGGAAAAGTCGAAAAAGTCATCGATCACGAGCTGTCGTAGCGAAAAGCCGCGATAAGCGCCGCTCAATGGAAGAGGGAAACGTTTCTAAACGCGTTGCAGACCTACAAAAGTAAAAAAGAAAGAAACAAGAAGAAGAAGATAACATATTACCTGAATCGAAATTTGAATTGCTACTTAAGTGCTCCTAAATATGCCGATGAAATTATTGTATTTATTGCATTTTTATTTATTTTTTATATTTTATTTAAATTATTATATTTATATGTTAAAATAATTTTATCGGTCCAATAGAAACTTACTTTGACGATACCACAATTTTTAACCCCTCTCGCACTTTCGTTACCGCACGGAATATATATATTTGAGATAAGATTACAATTTTTTCGCAGCACGAGTTACAAGCGACGCGACGAGGCCGGCAAGATCATCGTCGAAGGCAACGGCAACTTGAAAATCGGCGAGAACATGAGGAGCTCCTCTTTCAAATATAGCCGCCAGCAATTGACCCGCGAGAAGGACGGCGAGTCCGGCGTAGTGATCGTTTTGAATGCCAAGTTTGACCCGGTCGCGATCGTCAGCGACCTAAAGTTCTCGAACAGGGAGGTCCTCATTTCTAACAGCTACTGCGAGCAGAGCAAAGACTGCGCTCACTTTAAGCTCCAATCGACCTACGACACTGACAGTAAGTCTAGTAAATCACCTTTTACTGATCTCACGTTTCGTGCGGACAGCCGCGAAAAAGGGTAATCCCTTGTACTGATCTTCTTGTTGATGCAACACTGTACACCCGACAATGAATCCTGTGACAAGTTTGATCGAAATAGGATTTGCTTGAAACCCGAATGAAATATTCCTCATATCTCTCTTAAGCTCATGGATTTTCTTCTGCAGCTTGCAGGACTTGCATGGTTCGCATTTTACGATATCCTTTCTTTCTGTTGAGTATATTTAACTTTGAAAAGTCGAAGGTCGAATCTAGATAGATCCAATTTATTTTCTACATATATTCTTTGCTCGTTGCTTTGTTATTGCCAGAAAAAATAACTCGGAATTGTTTTAAGTAATTTATATTAAGTATCTCCACCTTGAAATTGAGGAGAGGCGATGCAAAGGATTTATAGTTAATGAAGATCAAACGTGTTTCCCTCTGCGACTTTCACACAGATTTGCGATGCGCGAGATTCTCTCTTTCGTCGTACCCGACGAATGTGTTTAACAGTCAAATGTCGGAGGTCGGGTCAAGGAAGGTCCAATTTACTTTTGTTATGTGTGACTTTATTTATCACTTGTTATTATTATTATTATTTAGTTATTGCTAAAAATATAATACGAAGTTATTTCAAGTAATGTATGTCAAGTATAATCTTCATCTTCCAAACCTTAAAATGGAGGAGAAACGGTGTGTATAGAGAATTTATAATTAATGAAGATCGAACATATTTTCTCCCTTGCGACTTTTACATAGACTCGCACGGTGCCATATCCTCTCTTTCGTCCTTTTCATCGAGTGCGTTTAACATTCAAACGTCAAAGGTCGAGTCAAGGGAAGTCCAGTTTATTTCTTTACTTGCTTGCTTCATATTTTTCATATTCCTAGCTAATATTTACGATCGTACCATCCGGTATGCTTTCTTTGTAGGCCTTTCATTAAGCTCTTGCTTATTGATTGTTTTTATAAAGAGACAATTTTTGGGATTGTTCTAAATGATTTATATCAAGCCTTATAAGCACTTAATATCATTTAATATTAAGTAATACTTTTAGAATATTAATAGATGGTTACGTGTTTACCTCTAATAATATTTAAAGAATAATATTATTTAACATTACTGTAATATTATATATTTTTTTTAATATTCAACTCGATGTGTATATAAATATATATATTTTTTTTATTTATATATATTTTTCTATATTATTATTATTTTTTTTTCTTAATATTCTAACAGTATTTTTCTAATATTCCGAGAATATTGTGTGAAGTGGACACATAACATCAATAGAACATTCCTATAATATTAAAAAATATTGCATAACATTCTTAGAATATTATAGAAATATTATTTTAATATATTGAATAATATTCATATAATATAATAATATAATATAATATAATATTCCAGGAATGTTACGCGCTTACAGGGAATATCTTTGCCCACGTGAGCGCTAAAATGAAAGAGAAACGGCACAGAGGATTTATAGTTAATGAAAATCGAGCGAAATTCTAGATACTCTCATTGTTCCGGCGTGCTCATTGAAAATTTATTGCAATTAAATTATATTAAGGGCATGTCCCGCAAACAAGGGGACGAGGCATCGGCGGTTCCTGGAAATTCCTGAAACGCCGCCTTGCTAATACGACTGGCTTGCGTGTCGAGCCGCAGCCCTTTATTAAAACACGCATCGTCCACAAGAAGAAGCCTGAATTCGTAAGAACAAAAGAAGCACGCCGTGTTTTGTCAAAAGCTCCGTATTAAAGCCCGCGCGACGTGTCGCGTCCCTCGTCTCTCAGGAAATCATCCTTATCGCATCATACACGCTTTCGTTCGCCTGCCACGTACCGTCCACTACCCCCTCCTGAATAATTAAAAAAGAACTCCAGTTGTGGATCCACCGGCTCGACGCCGAGGGACCACTGGAATATATCCGGGATGTCTCCCGACGACATACGCTATCGGCGATATTTCGCATGAATGCGCAATACGTCGCAATAGCCCGTGTATATATAACAGATCCCTCAGAAAGGGGAAGGAAGGCCTGCAGGCCGGCCTGCGCTGAAAGAAGGATTCGGTAATATATAATAAAATTTAGAGACCGTTACTGAATAATTCGGTGAAATATTGCAGGCCGAACATTCGGCAACAGTTACGAAATAATTTAATTGGAACAAGTGAATACATAGCTTTAAGAATCAAGATTTAGTTGCTTGAACTATGCATTTAGATAATTAAACTAGATCACTAAACTTAGATCACTAAACATTGGCAATTAATACCAAATGTTGATGGCAGAAAATGAGATATATTTGGTAAATATTGCTATGCATATAGTCCGTAAGGGAGAATTGTTTTAGGTAATTATCATCATTTTACTAAAGAAATTCTATCGTTCTACGTAAATTATTTCAGGATAACTTGACGTTCCTACATCGTCTTGATATACTTTCTTCACTTCATATGTAAAGAAATCCTCCCGTATAAATATTTATTAATAGTTACCAAAGTATTTTATAAGAATGGAAGTGAATGATTTTGTAATATACTCACCAAATATCTAATATTAATTATCGGACATTTAACAACAGACGTTAAATATTTGATAGCAATTACTATTTTATTTAGCTGACTCGACTTTGAATAAAAGTCGTTCGTACTGCAGGCCAACTAAATGCACGGTAATTAATATCAAATTTCATAACAGTCGCCAAATATGCCGTCGAAATCTCTCTGACTAAATGCATTTGGTAAGTATCACCAGTCTTTTTTTTTCACTATACACCGCTACCCGGTCGTTTTAAGGCCGTTTTGTGGTCCTACCACCAGATCATCCGGTCGATAACATTCTATTCTCGCGTGATCTGCACCTAATTCGTGCCTCGCCTCAGTTATTAATAGAGGCACCCCTGGAATCGCACCCTCACACGCCGTTGCACGGCGGGCTGCAATAGCGCGCCGCTGCATTGACTTTGTGTGCGCCGCTGATTTTCCCTTTTTTCTCTCCTCCTTCTCACATTTTTTCCTCTTCTTCCGCCCGGTTTTTTTTTTCACCTCTTCTCTTCCTTTCTCTTTCTTTCTTTTTCTCCTCAAAGAGAGAGGGTGGAAAAAGGAGGAGGAAAAGAAGAGAGGAAAAAGCAGAAAAAGGAAGAAAGAATTGGCGAAAACTTTGCGAGGCGATGCAAGAAGACAGGCGTGACCGGTGGTGCGTATATACCTGCACGGCGATACAAGGAAAAAAATAAGTCGCACCGTTGCTGGATGACGTCACACGCCGCAAGGGCGTGTGCTCCACTGACGTGCGCGTCTTAATCCTTTCCAGCGGCCGCGCGATGACGTATATAGCGCGATAAAGTTTACTTCGCCTCTTTTCTTCTTTTTTTTCTCCCTCATCCCTTCCCCCTCCGCTCTTCTTCCCCCGTCCCCCCCCCCCTTCTCTCTCTAACTTNAGGATCAATTTGGCTGTTGAAGCTGAAACTGAGCATGGAACTGTTTTTTTTTTTCTTTCACGAGAAATAAAATTCTCGCAATTCGAGTTGAGTATTACAAAATCATTCACTTTCATTCTTATAAAATACTTTGGTAACTATTAGTAAATATTTATAAGAAAGGATTTCTTTACATATAAAGTGAAGAAAGTACATCAAGACGAAGTAGGAGCGTCAAGTTATCTTGAAATAATTCACGCAGAACGATAGAATTTATTTAGTAAAGTGATGATAATTACTTAAAACAATTTTCCCTTATGGACTGTATGCTTAGCAATAGTTACCAAACATATCTCATTTTCTGCCACCAAGATTTGGTATTAATTACCAATATTAAGTTTAATGATAACATCTAAATGTATAGTTCAAGCAACTAAATCTTATCAATATTTCACCGAATTATTTAGTAAAGGTCTCTAAATTTTATTATATATTACCGAATCCTTCTTTCAATGTATAATCGCACAATCACAAATAAAAGATGTGGAAAAATGTTTCCAGCTGTCTGCTTTTATCACTAAACTATCCAGGCATCTGTTTTGACACCTTTTTCGTCCTCTTATTGCCTCAATTTTGAAATAAAACAAAAAAAACTGTTATCTTAGGAACTTCCAATAATTCAATTTAATATTATAAACTGTTTTTTCTCCAAAAATAAAATATATTCAAATGAAAGTATACATTACTTTGTAACTTCAAGTTAAAGAAATTGTAATTCTTGGTTCGAAGATATCGTTCTTTTCCGTCTAATATTCTTCATTCTCAATTCAAGATTATTATTCTCGAATAACGAGAATATTCTATTTTTAGTAGAACTACGTGAAATTTTTCCGTGCAAACAAGTTTTAGCTATCTGACGTTATACAATCTTATTTCAACACATACAAGTTGAGAATATAGGTTTTCTCAAAATAAGATTTTTTTTTTTTTCACGTATACTGGAGGACGTCGCAACGTGAGAACACGTTTCAAGGAATAGTTTCGTTTTTTCGATACACGTTAAAGAATTCTTTCTTCTCCCTCGCCTCTCAGTATCTTCGATTTTTCGCGATAATCGCCTCTTTCATTATTTGTTCTCTCGATTGTCCAATTACAGACAAGGAATACTTGAAGCACCAACTGACGGTGGAAGTCGACCTGAAGAAGTTCAACGTGCCGGTCGAATTCGGACTGAAGACGAGTACAGAAAACAAGGAAAACTCGTTCGATCACTCCGCTAACTTGTACCTGCACTCATCGAAGGATAAATCTGAGTACACCTACCACGTGTACATTCATCCTAAGGAAAGCGGTATGGAAGCTTTTCGTCTTAATTTTATGTTAGAATCAAGCAATTCATGTAGAATACTAGAATTTCAGACACATTCGGGCACGTTCTAATCGGAATCTAAGCTGTGAATCTAGAAAAAATGTTTAAAAATTTCCATGGGACAGAATAAAAGTAAGAACCACTTGTATATTCCCTTCCGCAGGTGCCGTTTTGACATTGCCTACTCGCGAATTGGCCGTTATCGGCACATACGATATCCCGAAAACGAAGCAGGGCGAAGCGTTCAAGATCGATCTCAATCTATACCTGGATAGGAAAAACAAACCGAACGAAAAGACTGGATTCGCCGTGTATGGTGACTCCAACATCGACAAGGATAGCGTGTCTATCAACGGAGAAATTAAATTTATATATCCAACGCAAACGAAGGTACGTATCCACCCGACAAGCATGTCTAAATGGCATCTCGGAGTTACTCTTACTCGTCTGTAATTTTCTCCGGACACAGTCGGCGTTATGTATGCTGTGCTAATTCCTAGACGGAAAATCAAACGGTATCTAATTTAATGCAAAACCTATAAGCTTGAAAGTCGCATAAATAACTATAATTATAACAACAGGGCTTTAGCTGATAGCTTTATTATGACGGTGTTTTATCTAATGTGTATATCAGGGACCCGGACCGGAACCGAAACCGAAAATCGTATGGAAACTAGTATTTTTGTTCACCTGAAAAAAATATTCGCGACTTTATTCTCAATTTTCGCGCGAATAAGGTTGCAAGGTTTTAAAATAAAACTTAAAAAAAAGAGAGAGCACCTCACGGTAAAAACCGTTACCTTCGATTTTCTCGCAATCTAGCGGGAACATCGAGTTTCGCCGAGCCGCTTGACGGCTATAAGAAGGAAAAAAGGAGAGAGAGAGAGAGAGAGAGAGAGAGCAGACGATATACGCTTTTCGTTGATCTTCTGCTTCGCACGTTATTTTCGTTCCTCGCCCTTACATCATGTATAGCAAAATTTCTTCTTTAACGCCTGCTGGTTCTGCTCGCTGTAGTTATCTTGTTTGGTGACGCTGGAAACGAGAAAAATGTGCGAAATTCTTGCGATGTACATTGAAATGAAAAAGCATAAAAGTAATTAAAATAAGAGGATTCCTTTTTACTCTAACAATCAACAAACACAATATTATTATTTATAATAATAATCACGACTATTTCCCCGGCTTGGTAGGATATGGTGGTGAAGGGTAGACTGTACTGCAGCTCCGGCGAGCATTTGCTGGACGCGAACATGGATATCGATCTATTCAATAAGAAGACGCAGAAAATCACTTTGGTGGCGAAGGTGAACCAGCAGATTATTGACTCGGGCTACAACATCACTAGCGTGATCGACATCACCAGCCGTGGACAGCATCTCAAGATCGATCTCAAGTCGCATGCAGCACTCACGAAAAACGCAGTCAGTTTCGGCAGCTTCTTGTCGTACCTGGATCGACATCAAAAACCGAAGAACGCGGGCATCCTGTTTACCGGGGATTCCTCGGAGATGTATTTCCTCGTGACCGCACTGAACAAGGAGATCATCCGAGCCGATGCGAAGATGCAGTTACAGAAGAACCTGCAGAAGATCGACGCCGAGGTCGCGGTAATCGGCAGCAAGCCTGTCGTGATGAACTTCGAAGCGCACGATTTCAACAATTTCAAATTTTCGGAGTACCAACAGGGTAAGTTCGGGATTTTGGGAAGGTTGCTTTCTTATATATATATATATATATATATAGTTTTTCTATCTTGTAATTTATCAATTTCATATTGCCTTTTGATTTAGTATGATCCGATTATATTATGTAAGTACAAAGCATTTATTTTCCACATAACGCAATATTAAGATGGAAATACTTTTTCCATGTATTGCACGTGGAAAAAGCTTATTTTAAATTATACTATATTTCGTAAAATAAGCGATTAATCCGAAACAAAAGAAAATGCATTTTAAAGTTAAAATTGTATACTTTTGTGTGGCATTATCGAAATTGCAAAAAAATGTACAACGAACGTCGAATAATTTGGACAGGTTAAATGTGATTAAAATATGCGAATATGAGTCGGATGTGTACGGACGCGCAAATTAGGCTGGATCTAAGCTGGATGAGGGATTACATTTGCAATACACTCGAGTTTGCACGAATGTGTAATAATTTCGCGACATCTCTCTCAGATAATCCTAATACGAAGTTAACCGCTGACGGACGTTTTGTGATTGGACAAATGGCTGAGATTCATGCCGATTCTTTCAAAGACGGCGCGAAGAAGCATCTGTTCCGCGCTATGATCCATCTCGACGAAGGGAAGTTCCTAAAACCTGACTTCACTTACGATAAGGATAACATAATCTACGTAATCGTAAGTTCGATTATCGTCAAGGGCGACAATAGTCTCTGATATTCGTGTGATCTGGTTTTTTTTTCACTTCATCGATGATGATCCAATTTAGGAACAAAATCGACACCAAAACGCCGAGATGATGAAGCAGCTGAAGGGAATCGGCGACGAAATTGAAAATGAAATACAAGAGGAATTGAAGGATTTGGTCAAACATTTGGACAGTGCTAAACCGAACACGAAGCAGCTTCAAGATTATTACCAGACCGAATTGATCAAACTGAATAACGAGATTCACGCTGACCAAACCTTCAAGGATATCCAGGCCTCTTTGTAAGAACTTGATAATAACGTCATTTAGCGTTGCACATATAGAATCTGCTTATTTAAGTTGCACCAATTCAGCAGTACAGCTAAAAAGAACAGATCAAAGCTGACAAAACTGAAATTTGTTGATTCGTTAAAATGTAATCTCCAATTCCTAGTCTGACACGGGCTTAACGCAGAAGTCCATATTACTTCATTCATTTGAGCGAAAAGTGAGTGCAGAATATGGACTATAACATCATTTCAAATAATTTTTAGATGATGTAACATGTTTTCTTATCAAAGATGAGGATGAATATATTTCTTCCATCTAGATAAGGATAAGAATGATCTATTTATTCATCTGAATGATTATTTAGATAATTTTATCTAAATACCAGCAAACACTGCGTGTATATATTATATTGACTTTTTTGTGCGCTGAAATTTCAAATTCACCGGCATTCGTAGGCTCGTCACGTATTATCGATCGTATTCTTTTAGTGGCAAACGCTTCAAAGCCATCATCGCCGCCATAACGGACACCTTCACAAAAACAGTCGCACGATATGGAGAACTGTCGAAGCAATTTCGCGAAATAGCTTCCAAGCTGCGAGACGCGGTGGAGACTGTTCTGCCGCAGTTAAAGAAATTGTACAATGAGGCGGTGGACACGTCTACCCAGATCCTCGATGCTATCGTCAGTGTCGCGATGGCTTACCTTAAAGCAGCACTCAATTTGATTGACGAACATCAGAAGGAACTGAAGGAATTAGCCGTGATGGTGTCCGAGCTTGTGCAGGATATCGCCAAGGTTATATATAAAGCTGCTACTCAGATCAAGAAGGATGTCGACGAGTTCGTCGAGTTGCTGGTCGATCAGGTGAAAGCGTTGCCAGTTTACGAGATCGTCAAGGAGAAGTACAACGAGATCCTCAAGTTCCAAATCCCGGAAAGTATAATGGCCCCCATCGAAGAATTCTTCAACGTCATAAAGAATACGCTGCCGACCGATGAACTTCGACATTTCGTCGATACTCTTCAGCAGTATCTCATGAAGCACGCCAAGCAAGAGAAGGTAGGTACTCTCTCAGTGCTCTCGGTGCTTTTTATTGCGTCATATTCGCCATTGCTTATTACGAATAACTACACTGAAAGAAGGATTAAAGTAATATATAACAAAATTTAGTAACCGTTACTAAATAATTTGGTGAAGTATTGCGAGCCAAACGTTCGGCAACATAACAGTTACTAAATATTCTGTCGAAATCAACTATATGCATTTAATAAATATTACCAGTCTTTCTTTCGAGTGTAGTGCTTTCTACATTTCTCGGAGTAAAATTTTACTTGAAAAACAGAACGAATGACTATCGAATTCGAGTGACTCGTATAGAGTGATTCTTCACTCTAAGCGAATAATTTCCATTTGAAAGTGAAAAATGCATTTGATTCATTTGATGTATTACTTCGTCACGAGAACAAATTCACTTAGAGTGAAAATATTGTCACTTTTCTTCTATTTTGAGTGAGATTCTGCTCCAAGATATTTAGAGGAAAATTTGATATCACTTGAACGGTAAAATATATCCGTTTCGCACAGGTCGATGACATTCACGAAATCAAGAAGATCTACACCCTCGGGGTCGACGCGATTCAATCTCTCGCCACTCTTTTGGGGTCGGAGGAAAACATGGATAATCTGTTCGACTTACTGATAGCTGGACTCATCGATATCGACTCATTGACGAACTTGCCGGCAATTACCACGCTGAAAGTGTCTTTCTTCGAACTGTTAAATAACAGGGAACTTCCAACGCTTGCGGATCTATATTATACCTACAGGTATTTCAAACGCCCCTATTTATTATCAGCCTATCTTTCTTTTTCCATTATGTACGTGTATTTGTTGTGTTTTACGTATTCTTATCTGCTCCTGAGAATTAAAATTTGCAATTAATATTTGACCTATCGCCAAGGCCGAGATTCTTTTTAAATGTAACGCTTATTAAAAATCTAACTAACGCTTACTAAAAGCTAACTAACCATTGTTGTTATTCATTTTGAGAAATAGTTCGTTATCGTTACTCGAGAAGCAACGAGTCGTTAAAATTCCCATTACTTTTCTCAATATAAGTTGTGATCTTCTTTTTCTATTCTTACAATTCAATCGCCGCCCTCCCATGTTGACGCCTAACGCAAGTGCAAAGTAACGATAAAAGTAACAATTATTAATATTCTTTATACCAAAATATCATAATTGCGTTACCATTATCTTGACTAACGAAGAACAGTAATGCTGTGTTAACCGAAAATTGCTGCTGGAAAATAAATATCCGGGAAGCACAATGTTTAAAATTGAGACATAAGATCTCAAAGATATTTTTGAGACATTTAAAACGTTTTAAGACATAAAACGTCATATATCCCGATTTTAGACCAATTGTCAGGGTAACTTGAAACGGTCCCCAGTCGACACAACAATATAATAGATATAAAACATATATAAATTTATAAATCACGTTTTCCGAAAGCGATATATCTTTGACGTTACAAATAAGCAAAGCGATCGTCATTTTCTAATTCCTCGAACAGACCTACTTTAATCCCGATGGACATCGTACCGCCCTTCACTAAGATCGGACTCGTCGTCGACGGTGGGCATTTCTTCACTTTCGACGGCAAATCCTTCAGCATGCCCGGCGACTGCAGCTATATCCTCGCACAAGACATGCTGGACGGCAATTTCTCCATCATCGCGAACTTCAACAAAGGCAGTCTGATTAGCATGACCGTTACGGAGCCTAAAGAGAGCATCACGCTGAAGAACAATGGGGACGTAAGTTCATTTCTCTTATCTCTTAACCGATTTCCCGACGCTGCACGTCGCTTAGCAAGTTACGTCAGCGACGTGCGTGTGTGTGTGTGTGTGTGTGTGTGTGTGTGAATCGAGATCGGAGTAAACGACGATGGCAAGAAAGAAAGAGAGAAGGCAAGAAAGAAGGAAAGAGAGGGGGGGGGGGAAGGAGTGGGAGAGGAAGCATAGATAGAAGCGCTCATACAGTATTCCGTGTACAAGTCTTATAATGCAATCCCGTATTGAACTGTAACTCTGCAAATTTACGGAGTTCCAAACTTCGCTGAAAAGTCAAACTCTATTATCCTCTCATCGCTGCCCTCGTAGGTAGAACGCGCGAGCGAGGGAGGAATAAAAATTGTCGTCTTTGTTCTCATTCTACCCCCGGCACCGAAGCCTTCCTTATTAGTGCGAACACAAAAAATTGCTCTTTTGGCCTACTTCTTTTCACGAATTAAGGTCTCCCGCATTGTTCATTCTCGTCTCCTGTCTAAAATTCCCTCGTGCGTCACTGATACTTAAATGACTTCCACCTGATTCTGATCAGTTTAATCGACAATCTAAGGTGGATATTTTTATCTTGTAATATCTTATTAACTTTTATGGTCGGACGACAATTTACAGGACTGGAAATTAGTGTTGTCAATTATTCTTATTATTATTCACCAATTATTTTATTATTATTCATCGATTATTTTAATCTGAGTCGAGATGAAAGTCAACCTTACTTGGGCTTCTCTCGCTCGTGTTTAATCGCGTCCGTCTTCCTCTTTTCTTCCAGGTTCTGATAAATAATAAGCCGGCTGAATTCCCGGCCAAAACGAAGAATTTGCACGCATCCCTCCTCCCGTCGTATCACAGCGCGAGCATCGAGTCCGATTACGGAGTGGTTGTTATGTGCACTCACAAAACGACGATGATCTGTGCAATCGAGGTGTCCGGCTTTTATAATGGAAGAATACGCGGTCTTTTCGGCGACGGTAACAACGAACACCACGATGATTACACTTTACCGTCCGGAAAGGTAAGCTTCTACTGTCATTTAACGAATGTCATCTCTATTATTAAAAGGACAGTTGTCGGAATATTTGACAAATGTGCTCGATCGATCGCAAAAGTGTCGTTTTATAAACGTGTCCTTTTATTTCAATGTATCCTGTAAGAATTCTCAGCGAATACGTTTCTTCGCTTTTGACGTAAGCGATCGGGATAGCTGCGACGAGGAATCCTAAGAACGGCATAAGAAAACGTATACGTTTGCAATGATCTCTCTAAAGCACCTTCCCCTTAATTGAAATAGATCACCGAGAGTGAGACGGAATTCGCCAACGGATACAAACTGAAGCCTGACTGCCCGGCTGTGAACGCGATCGATCACAAGCAGCGTAACCCAATCTGCACCGAGTACTTCTCCGGCCAAAAGTCTTCGCTGAAGTAAGTGCATTTCTTCGTCACTAAAAAAAAAGAAAACAAATACGATTACATATCGCGCTAAAACGCTCCATTATTTTTACGAATTACTTCGAGTGGCTCAATTACTTTCGAGAATCGCTCTGCTTGTGTTTTTCACTTGGAAGCAACGTGATCGTTTTCATCTATTTTTCTGTAATATTTTATAGACGTTGCTTCAATTACGTCAATCCGAGTGCTTACCGAGATGCCTGCGACAAAGCAGCCAGCACGAATCCACAGGCTCCTTGCCAAATCGCAGTCGCTTACAACGGTGCTTGCGAGTATTCGCGCGTCTCCGGGATCAATATTCCATCCGCCTGCGGTGAGTTGAATTGTTGACTTATACTACTGGCTTTTTCCACGTATGTATCCTATAAGCGCATAATATTATTTAATATTAAGTAATATTTCCGGTCATATTCTTGAACGAATATTCTAATAATATTCCGGTAATATTATTTAATATTAAGTCTCATTAATATTTCTGGAATATCAATGAGATGGGATATAAACACGAACAATTCAGAAGCTAAGTATATGTATCGATTTACTTTGATAGTTAAATTCGACTGTTTCTCTGATGCTTTAGTGACCTGCAAGGTTGGTGAGCACACGATCAATGTTGATGACAGCTTCAGTGTGAAGGCTCCGAAGGATCAAGCTGACATTATGCTGGTAATTGAGCAAGACGTGCGGAACGAAAAAATCTTCAAGGATCTGGTTCCAGCATTGATCACTGATTTGAAGGAGGAACTGAAACATCATGGCATAACGTATGTAAACCTTTTTTTTTTAATTTGCTTAGTAATAATCTTCTTTTTCTCTTTGGCGCTACAGGCCCTTACAAGGCCTGAGCTTACGTTTTTCTCGCATATACTTGCGGAACGCACGCAAATTACATAAGTATGTGAGACCTGCACAGTTTAACGTCAAATCCGAACAGCAGATTATTTGGAGCATCGACATATATCACTGGCATTTACAATTCTACTATTTTAATTAATTTTTTTTATAACGGCAAGAACGTAGGATACAAGGATACGAGGATATAAGGAAAAGTTGAAACGTAAAAATGTTTATAGAGCGTATAACGTCAATGCTTGTTAATGCTCGAATTCTTATTACGACATGAATATTATATAAACATACACAGGTGCATGTGTGTAACTTTTTTACCGTATATAATTCCTTTTTACCATGATACCTTCGTAACTTGAATCACATTATGTGTGTAACAGCGATGTCCACATTGGCTTGATGGGTTACGGTGAGAAGATGGACACGCCGCAATTTTACACCGTCGGCGGCAACCTCAATATCGAGGGCGACGTGAAGAACATAAAATTCGAGAAGTCGGATCCCATCCTTAGTCTTGAGGTGACTTACGTAAATAATATGTAACGTAATGCACAATATTAGATTAAGATCATCGTGGTGTAGCGAGCATCAACAAACATCATTATGAAGCTTCTCGATAACGCATAGCCGCTTACGCATCCGCAGGAAGCGAAGGAGGGAGACATCGAGAAGAAACTGGAGTACATCGGCCAAAAGTTGGACATGGAATTCGGCACCTTCAAGTTAACCGACGCCTACTTGGAAGGCGTCCGCTATCCGTACAGACCTGGCGCAGTCAGGGCGGTCGTCGGGATCATCGTTACTCCGTGCGAGAAGAGTCCGTTTCCGTTATCAGTAAGTTTTCCTGATTATAGTTGCTCCTAACACGAGCTCTCAAAACGCATTTTAATCGGCAAGATACCAGATTTGGTGCACGGAAAATATGTCAATTAGTAATCTGATATAATAACATTGGATTAGTTAACCTTTTGAAGCACAACACATTTTTCCTCCCTCTTATTTTCCATCAAATTTGGTACCCGGGTATTTTTGGGGTCGACGATCACGAATTCGTCAAAATTGAAAAATTTTTTAAACCTAAGACGGCGGATCCAATATGGAGGACCGAAATTGCAGCGAATCAACCGAATCACTTCAAATTTGGTATTCATGACTAATATATGAATTTTTTATTTAGAAATTCAGCGATATATAAGCGTAGCGAATCGAGCGAGATTCTTGTCTTAGTTGCGACACAATGAAATCGTTCATCTCGTAACGCTGGCAAAGGCTGACCCCGGCATTTCTCTTGTTGCAGTTGCAATCCCTGAGAATTTTGCAAGGACTGAAGGCGTATCGGGATCGGGGTCTGACCTATCATCACATCTACCAGCCTGGTGACATTCAAGTTTCCGGTAAAACGCAAAAGAATATCGTCGCTTATGATCATGATAGCGCGTACGTGTTAGCTGACAACAAGAGGAAGCCTCTCAGCGGAAACAGCGAGCTCAGACACAATTTGGTGCTTCCAGCCGTCGACGTGTGCGCCGACTTTGCCATCACGGTGAGTACACGAAAAGTGAAAAGGACCAATTAAGAATCTGTCGTATTCGAGATGAAAATTATATTGAATTCTCTCTTATTCTTGCTCGCAGTGTTTGCCGGTATCTAGATAAAATTATGTAAATAACCATCCAGATGAATAAATAGATCATCCTTATCTTTATCTAGATGGAAGAAATACAAAATATATTTATTTTCATCTTAGATAAAAAGAGCATGTTATCTCACCTAAAAAAAAATTTCTTATCTAAGCAAACACTGAAGGTAAATAATAATATAGATAATTGATACTCTCGTGTTATCACCCAAAACGACGTAACAAACGAAAACAATATAACAATAATTCTTTGAGATAACACACACACACACACATATTGAAAGGATACATTTCGAGTTATCTTCCATAATGTTGTTGTTGCAGTCTGGTGGGGCGGCATACATTTCCACGAATTTACTAGACGCAAAACCGAATCAGAAGAAACAGTTCGCTCAGGTTACCGCAAGAAGGATCGTCGAGAGTCTCACGGATGTTGAGTTGGAACAGGATTGCGTGTGCCAGCACGCTTGCAGTCTTTCTGGAATTCCTCGATGTAAAATCGTGGGCCGTAGGGAGAAGGAACACCTCGCGGTAAGTTCCGAGTTTCAGTTTCTCGAGATTTCCTATTTGACGCGAGATATTGACTATTCCCCGTCGCGAGTATTACTGTAGTCATTAGTCCGGATTTGCAATAAGTGTCGTAAGCTTTTGCTAGAAGCGGTAAAAAATGAGATGTAATGTCAGACAAAAGAAACACCAAAAATCCTGAATCCTTCTTAAATATTATTAGGAGTGGGCATAGCTACTTATTAATATTCTAGAAATATTACTTGATATTAAATAATATTACGCGCTTATAGGATACAAACAAAACAATTTTTATATTGTAGAATTTCACAAATTTATATAATAAATTATATTACAGAAACACACGAAAGGAGGCGTGAAGGGATAAGGGAACTTCAGTACTGCGTATACTATTATTACTAAGAAACTTAGATGTAATGTATTTGTTACTTCGTCAAAATATCATGAAAATGGATAGTGGTAATAAACGATACAATCGTTTGTAGCACGCTAATTTTTTTCTATTTTTTTCTCTTTCTTTACAGTAAAAAGGAATATCGAGCGCGAAATCGCGTATCGTCCGATTATTTAATTTGTTCTCCAGGCGTAACACGAACGCATGCAAATTAACGCAATTTCAATAACTCGGTGTTCGTCATTTATCGATAACATTTATAATGATATCATGTACAACCAACTTTTTGCAAAGAAATAAACGTTGAACATACCTGCGTAATTGGAAATGTTTACCCTGTTTTCCCCCGTCCTCGTTCCGACGAATTTCGAGCATAAATTAAACGTGACATTCGAGTGAAAAGTTTGAAACTTTGTATTACTTCACTGTACTAATTTTACAACACATGAGACAAGTTTGATTAGTTTTCATATGATCCTAAATATATCCTGAATCACTTTTCGGTGAAACGAATGAAATAATATGGACCTATGCGTTAAGCCCGTATCAGATTAGGAATTGAAGATTAAATTTCAACGAACCAACAAATTTCGGTTTAGTCTCCTTTGGTCTATTCTTTTCAGCTACACTGTTGAACTGGTGCAACTAAAAAGAACAGGCCATTTGTTTCAATTGATCAATCCACTTTCCCGTATCAATTGTCGACTGTGAAGGCTGACGCGACTGTCAATTACGACTGCCAACTCTTAATGGACCAATTGCAATAGACTAGTTATATGAAGCTTCACTATGATAGCTTCACTATGATAGCGTCACTATGATATGACAGCCCTTCAAAAACCGATAGTCGTAACCGACAGTCGGCCAAATCAGCATTCACAATCAGTAGCTAGATATGGTCTTCAAAGAAAGACTGAAATAACGACTGCGTACAGAAAACACAGCGATCTAAGGCAAACACTGCTTGTGTCAAACGCTGTACTTTTTCACGTGGTGAGAGGTTCGCTCGTTTATTTTTAGAAAATAAAGTTTTTGTTAAAAAAACTTTAGTTGATAGAATAATGAAATAAACTTAAGTTGATAGAAATGCACACGGCCAATAAGAATTTTCACTTGGACGACATGAGTCGGCGACTTTATATGCTAAATTGTGTTGTGCGGCCGCGCGTACGCGTGTAATGTTACCGTGACGTCAGAAGCAAATATGACGGAGCTGGATCGGATAATATTCTACGCTTTCTGAGCGTGCATACTTCTATACTTTGTCGATTGACATTTTACAGTAAACGCAATAGTAACGAGTACTATATATAAAAGTCAAAATATCCTAATTATGCCAACGGTTTAATACTTATAGAAATAATAATGAATTATTGGGAGTAGAGAAAAATAAGGAATCTTTTCCATTCCGAAATATTTATTAAACTTTATTTTTAAATATATATATATATATATATTTATATATACTTTTTTTAAATATACATATACACATATATATACACATATGTATACACATATACATAATATGTATATATGTGTGTGTGTGTGTGGTGTGTACGTGTGTGTGTGTGTGCGTGCGTATGTGTATGTGTGTGTTTGTGTAACTCCTAATAATTTAAAAATCAACAATTCCCAGGGAAGAAAGGTACATATCAAGGGTCGTAAATGTCCGAAAGGAAGTTACTTTAATTGTTTTTGCAACGCAGAAACTATTCGAATGTCAAAATACTACTCTCGCGATTATATCTCAGTCTATACAGTATCAATCTATCTACGTGATAACTATCCTTTTATTCTGGTCTTAAAAGTTGGTCTAGTTTTAATTAAATTATAACTTCGCCGATCGATCCGTAGATTCACGAAGTCTACTATCACTGCGCTGATATTACATTGCTCGGCGTGATCGTAAATTCACGATCTCGTGCGACGGTCTGACAGACTCGATAATTATACGCTCTGGAAGATAGCAAACGCAGCTTATAACATTCCCTTGAAAAGCAGACGAATGGTATTTTGTAGCTTATGAATCCTGCGACAGTCAACGATACCTCGCACAATAATACGATTATTCTTGCGACTTGATCTTGGATTTTGGATCAACAAAAGTCCATTATCAATTACAATTGATCGAACCAATGACTTTCTCGAATAATATCACAATTAATGTCGGTCGCCGATAATAATAGCGCCAACGTCAAATTTCGTCGTTTTATATATATATATGTATATGATCTTTTGGTGGATGACACGAAACGAATATAATCTACAGACATTATAATCCATTTTTACGAACATAACTTCTGTCAATATTACGCAGGAGACAAGAATTTCAAGGTACTGGTACTTAACATAAGGACGGCGAAGGAATTCCTTGAAACTAGTGTTTTCAAACGAACCCTCTATCGAGTGTATCTTAACAATAATTACATCCCATGTCGATACAGAGGAGTCATATTAAATAAAAGACAGTTACTATCCGCTCGGTATATTAATCTTACATCTCTCTGTACTGTTTAGGGTGATTAATTCCCGCCTGATCGTTGTTATTCCGATGAAAGTGAAAGCGACGCATTTTCCACGGTTCGCTGCTGCTCGCATTGTATCGAGCGAAATTCAAAACAACGTTTCCGATATTTCATGATTCCACCTGACGACGGACCGTATATAACATACACATAGCGATCCAAAAAGGCTCGAGATCGCGGACACCATCTTTTTCAATTTGAAATTTTCGTTATCTCCCGTTTCATCATCGTCTCTAATTATCGCGTCTCGCAGTCAAGGCGATCGAATCGAATTCAGACGTCCATTAAGCTCAGTTTAGAACTTCGTTAAAAACGAGATGTCCATTTGCATTCTTTGCAAACACGGTTTAAAGTTGCCGAGTGGCATTCGAGCGTTCGACAAGCGTATGCGATTCGAAAGCCATCAGTGTCCTGAAGCAGAAACAATCGTCGTTCCTCCCGTAATTTTAGGCGAACATCCTATCGTCGGGGAGAAGGACGTACACGACTACTTCTGGATCACCTCGTGTATAGCACGTAGTGTATGTTTGTGTTTAAACTGTTCATAGATATATTACAACGGGAGCCGTGTCGCCAAGGTCGACAACAATGTATATATATATATATATATACATTTAAATTAAATTCATGGAAAACTTTTTCTTAGAAAATTCTCATGTACCCGGCTGGTACTTAGCGATAATTAATTAACCCATTAAATATCGCGGACGTCACGCACACACGCTTTTTTACGACCCGAGGCACTCTCTCCGGACGTCATCTCTCTCTGAACGCGATATATATTTTATCGATTGGATTCCTCTTGTATACTTACAGTCTTACTATAACCCGTCATACATCGAAACTGCCCTAGAAGAGAGAGAAAGAGAGAGAGAGAGAGAGAGAGAGAGAGAGAGAGAGAGAGAGAGAGGGAGGGAGGGAG